TAAGGATAGCAAATCTTTAACAGCTGCGCCTCAAAAGGCTATCCTTCCCACAAAACTGGAGATATCTCCCAAATCAGAATCAACCTGTTTTCTCTGCAAAACTGAACTCAACATAGGTTCTACGGATCCTCCTAACTTCAATACTTGAACTGAATGCAAGAATCAGGTGTGTAATCTCTGTGGATTTAACCCTACACCACATTTGACTGAGGTAAGCAATACATGTATTACATATGGATGTGAGTCTATGCGTTTATTTTGAAATGTTTGGGTGCCAAATATCTGAGCAAAAAGTACATTTCTAGTGAAGAAACTAAATTGATATCTTAGAAGTTTTAATTACCTACCACCAGCTTACCATCTTACTAAGAGTTCATGTTATTTGTACTTTCCTGGGTTAATGTACCATAAGTAAGAAGATGAAGTAAGATAAGTTAAATGAATATCTTAATTATTAAATTAATATAACAATGATTCAATCATTCATGAAATAAAGACTGTAAGGTTTATTGCCGAGTTAAAATGAGGAAACTGAGGCCAGTATAAGAAAATGAAAAGCCAATTTATTTAGCTCCTGGGCGAAGTCCTATGGTCCCGGAAATGGGCCAGAGAAGTCGGGCTTGACTTCCCAGGGCATGGGGTTTTATAGGGAGTGGAGGCGATTGATTGGTTATTGAGGAAACAAAGCAAAGGCAATTTCATTGGTTATAGGGAGACAGGACATAGATGGGGCAGCTGCTATTGGTAGGTAGGTGGGACTACCAGTTAGTGGGCTGGCCGGGGACATACAGGACAGACTGCTATTGGGCAAGTTTTGGCGGGGTCTTTTCAGCGGCAGGCTGGGGGTTATGTGCATAGTTTGGTGCTGCGTGTAGACTTGGGTATGGTATGCAGAGGTGGGTGCAGGGAAGCCATGTGGCGAGGACAGATGCTGAGTAATGAGCTCGGAATGATGACGTAGTTATCAGGCGCAGAGAGAGATGTGTGTGTCCATTTAGCTCCCAGTGAGGCAACCGATCTTACAAAGACCCATAGCTTTGAGTTGGTTTTCACATATAAACTCCAAATAAAGGTTTTAATGTATTATTCCCATCTCTAACCCTTCCAGTCTCTGCAATACATTAATAAAAGAAGTTTGGTTGAAAAAATAAATAAATAATAAAGATAGTATAACTTAACAGAAATTTCTTCTGAGGGATTATTAACACCCTAAGTAATAGCCCCATTAAAATGGTTTTAATGCTATCAGCAAAGAATAACATTTGCAAAGAGAACTGAAAAGGTTATATTTTAGGTTTAGGAGTACTGGTTAACATTACTAAATAAAGTGAAATGGATCTCTACTGAATTGATCATTTTATGTTTATTGGCATCTGAATACTCTTAAATTTATCTGAATTGCCTTGTACTGCTATAGATTCTTACCATAATATCTTGCTGAAATAGCCTTCAAAATAGTCTGTATGATGCCTCTTTCATTTGTCTTGTTAGTTTTATGTTTGTGCAGGTATGCAAATCTATAATTTGAGATATGTAAAACCCTTTTGCCTTTTCTGTTCTTCTCAATTGTACTTGAAATTTCTGAGCCCACAAGGAAAACATCTGAAAAAAATATATAGAATATTTTTAAATCACTGAATTTCAGGGAAACTCATGAATCATACAGTCCAGCATATTTAAAGCCCCCAAATCTTTTTTTTTAAAAATGCCTGTGACCTCTTCTAATTTATAAGGCATATTGGGCAGAAGTGGCTACAAAAAATGAGCAGGGCTACATTTGGGAATAGGCTGAATATATATCTAAACAGTGTGATGTCTAAACAGAGATGTGCCAGAAAGAGCCCCTACCACCCTAATATTTCTCTCATTGCCTATCATAAAATCTATAATTTCTCATTTATAGAATTATTCTGTTTGGATTTAAAGGCTTATTATGGATTTAAAGGCTTATTATCCATAAACATTAAACCTTTTGAAATTGAAAAGTGGGCCAAGAGCAGTACTTCTCACATGTATAATCCCAATGCTTTGGGACGCTGAGGTGGGAGTATCAATTGATCCTAGAAGTGCAAGATTAGCAGGGCAAGGTAGCAAGCCCCTGTCTCTATATAAAATGTATTAAAAATTATCCAGGCACTGTGGAACACTTCTGTAGCCCCAGCTGCTCTGGAAGCTGAGATGGGAGAACCCCTTGAGCCCAGAAGTTCAAGGCAGCAACAATATATGAACATGCCACTGAACTCTAGCCTGGATGACAAAGGAATACTTGTCTCTAAAAATAAATAAATAAAATTAAAAAGTCGATTAACAACATAGATATCAGTTGATCACCAGATCAGTTTGAGAAAAAAAAAATTGGGGTCCGTAATCAAGGGTATTTGGGCAGAAATGCCACGGATATAAAAAGAGAGAAGAGAACAGGGTTTCAAGACAAACTTCACTTACTCTTTGTTCAAAGCTTAAAAAAAAAAAAAGATTACTGGCCACAGAAATTAAAGAAGTTGCTATAAAAATGTATCATTTTTATTGATCAGCAAGCATTTCCCAGCCAATTTCTCCAGATAAGGGCTTCTGAAATCTTAGTGTGACTAAAAGTTAACTATACATCTTGTTATTAAAGCTAATTTTCTGTTCTTGTCCCCATGTAATCATGTGCCAAGGTTGTGTTAGTATAAAAAATTCTAGCTATACATGGGTGATCTGGGATAAGCCCAGGAATCTATGAATAAGGAGTTCCTGAGTTGGTTATGATGCAACTCAGCTCCAGAGCACATTTTAGCAACTTTCAGCCTAGAGTCAATCACCTGATTGCTCTTGAAATAGCTTACAATCTAGAATGGGGAGAGAAAATATATATAATTAAACATAAGGCTGTGTGTGACCTGGGTTATGGAGACAAAGGGGGAAATATACAGTTTTGAAAATCAAGTAAAGCCAGGTATAAAATATAACTTTTGAGTAATGCATTACTTAAAAAATAGATAAAATATAAAAAAAAATGCAGCCAATATCAGAAAAATACAAAGTTGGCAACTGTTTTTCTAAGTTTCATTGTGTACCCCCATGTCTGGCTATCCAGGATCCTCATGCTTTCTCCTGATGACAGAATCACAGAAGCCTGTCCTTGTTTTGAATGTTTCCATTTCCTGTCCCTTTTCTCACTCTTAAAAACTTACTTCATCTCATCTCCCTTCAGAAATGGGTTGGTTGAATATCTAATTTGATAAAGTAATGATAATAGAATGTTGTCTTTAAAATATTTCCAGTGCCTTTGCTTATAGAAATGATTAACATGGATATCCTAGCAAGCTAGAGATAGGATGGAAAATGCTTTTGGTCAAATGAATTATCAATGTCTCTTAATTCATATTGAAGCTAATGGTCTTACAAAAATATTCACTGTTAACTGAAGTGATGAATATTGTTCAGCAAGGAAGTTAAACAAATTTACAAGAAAAAACAAATGGCCCCATTAAAAAGTGGTCAAAGGACATGAACAGACACTTCTCAAAAGAAGACACTCATGAGGCCAACAAACATGAAAAAAGCTCACCATCACTGACCATTACAGAAACGCAAATCAAAACCACAATGAGGTACCATCTCATACCAGTCAAAATGGTGATTATTGAAAAGTCAAGAAACAAAAGATGCTGGTGAAGCTGTGGAAAAATAGAAATGTTTTTACACTGTTTCTGGGAATTTAAATTTTGTCAACCATTGTGGAAGACAGTGTGACAATTCCTCAAAGACCTAGAACCAGAAATACCATTTGATCCAGCAATCCCACTACAGAGCATATACGCAAATGAATACAAATCATTCAGTTATAAAGATACATGCATGCATATGTTCATTGTAGCACTATTCACAATAGCAAAAATACGGTAGAATGGATAAAGAAATTGTCCTATATACATACCATGGAATGCAATGCAGCCATAAAAAGGAATGTGATCATAGTCTCTGCATATCATGGATGGAACTGGAAGCCATTATCCCCAGCAAACTAACACAGGAATAGAAAAACAAACACCTCATGTTTTCACTTACAAGTGGGAGCTGAACAATGAGAATACATGAACACAGGGAGGGGAACAACACATACTGGAGCCTGTTGGGGTTGGCAAGGGGAGGGATAGCATTGAATAGGTAATGCATACTGGGCTCATCATCATGAAGAAAAAACTTGAATAAACTGAAAGTCAGTAACTCTTCTTTAGGCTGGGCGCGGTGGCTCAAGCCTGTAATCCCAGCAATTTGGGAGGCCGAGGTGGGTGGATCATGAGGTCAAGAGATCGAGACCATCCTGGTCAACATGGTGAAACCCCATCTCTACTAAAAATACAAAAAATTAGCTGGGCATGGTGGCCCACGCCTGTAGTCCCAGCTACTTGGGAGGCTGAGGCAAGAGAATTGCCTGAACCCAGGAGGCGGAGGTTGCGGTGAGCCGAGATCGCACCATTGCTCTCCAGCCTGGGTAACAAGAGTGAAACTCCGTCTCAAAAAAAAAAAAAAAAAAAAAAAAAAAAAAAAAAAAAAAAAAAACAAACAAACAAAAAAAAACAAAAAAGAAACTCTTCTTTGATGCATTAGAGAATTTAGCAGAGACTCAGAAGTAGAAGCTTACCACTGGAACCAGAGTATAAACACTTAAAATGTAATTGACAAATTTCTGGAGGCTGAGTCTTGACACATTTGAGGTTTTAAAATTGCAGAGTCCCAGTTTTAGTGGTAGCTCCTACACCTTCCTGAATTTTACCTATAGGATCCCCACCAGGTCTGGGTAGAGTGAACAATGAAGAAAAATTCCCTTTTGCCAGTAGGGAGAAAGAAAAATTGTCACTTAAAAATATGCCTAGAGCATTCTGCTCTCCTTAACAATAACAAAAAAATGCCCTCAAGGAAAACTATTTAACTGGAATCTATCCACATTGAGTTTATCCAGAGCATGAGCAAACTAGAGGGAAAAATTACCCGACTCCAGTCATCTTCTAAGCTAAATCAGAACATGGCAATCAGTACACAGTGTCTGCACATCCATCAAAAACTCCAGTCACTTCTAACCTTCATGTTTTACCTTGCAGGGAGGGCAGAAAGTTAAGAAACAATTGATAAACCCTCAGCACCAAGGCTAACTAAAAGACTGAGACATCCTTATAGGATTATGTAATATTTCTCTTCCCCCAACCTTACCACCACATCAATAGGGTTCCTCTATTATAACTAAGAGGATTACAACTGAAAGAATCACATGCCCAAAATCTTATTTAATAATTCTCTAGGAAAACCCAAAGACAAAAGGGGATACAGACAGTAGGATGGCAGAGAAAATGTTAGCAACTTTAAGTTCTCCAACTGTATTCTTCTTTTGCAAGATTATTTTGGCTGTTTGCATACTCAACCAATCCCCTATTAATTTGGGAATCAGTTATTCCATTTTAAATTTTAAAAAATTGAATTTTGGTAAGGATTGCATTGAATCTGTAGATTTATTTGAGTAGTATTGGCCTCTTGCTAATATAAAGTCCATGAGCATAGGATGTCTCTCATGTAACTACATCTTCTTTGAGTTCTTTCAGCAATGTTTTATTTTTTCTGTAATCAGGTCTTTCACCATCTTGTTTAAAGGTATTAGTATTTTATTTGTTTTTATGCAATTGTAAATATAATTATTTTCTCAATTTGTTTCATGGGTGGCTTATTTCTGGTGTATAGAAATACAACTTATTTTTGTGCATTAATCTCCTACCCTACAACTTTGCTGAATTTGTTTTTTAGCAGTAATAGCTTTCTTGTGGATTCCTTTTGGTTTTCTACATATAGCATTACGTCATGTGCAGAAAGAATTTTACTTCTTCCTCTTTAATTAGAATGCCTTTTATTATTATTTTTTCTTTCATAATTCTTGGACTAGAACTTCCAATACAATGTTGAATAGCAGTGGTTAAATAGGCAGCTTTGTCTTATTCCTAATATTAAGAGAAAATATTTCAGCTTTTCACTATAGATATGGTGTCAGCCAGAGGTTTTCCTCAGTATTTCAGGTAGCTCCAAAACTGGTTAGATGGGAGCTATACAAACATGATACGTTGTAGTTAAGTTATTTCCTACTTTATCTGTTATCAGGGACCAGGGTTATTCATTGGGAGTGTGGGATGCTGTCTTAAGACTACGTATGAGCTGTGGTCAGAGTAGGGTAAGGGAAAGTAAAATTGCCATAAAACTTTCTTACTATTTTAAGTTTCTTTTTTCTTGATTCAGCATTCACTTTGTTGTGGTAAACATTTGACTGTTTTCAAGAGTTCTGGTAAACTTGGTTTTTACAATTTCTGCTTGTTTTGCTCTTCCTGTGGAGAGACAGTAGTTTAGAGCTGCCCACTCTGCCATTAACTGATATTACATTCTACAAGAGGGTTATTTTTTAATAAAAAAAAATTGACAATATATTAAGACTGAAGAAAAGAGTGAGCTGAGAGGTAAAAGTGATTACTCTTACCTCTCAACTTGATAGATCAAATTCTTATGGGAGATGAGAGCTAAATGACAGATCTTTAGATTCACGTGTGATTTTGAATTTTTTTAACTTAAAGAAATTAGACGAAAGCAAGAAGAACTACGGAACACTGCTCATCAGATATTATTATTAGTTTTTAAGTGTGCTCAGGGGAAAAGTTAAAGATTCAGGGAAATTTGGAATTCAATAAATGAAGATTTTTAAAAGATGGGAGTTTAGATTTAAAGTTAAAGCAACAATATATTTTATATAAAATATTTGAAAGTTGATTGAAATATTATTTTATTCTGTAAGAATGAAAAAGAAAAACAAAACTGGTACATTCCTTTTTGGGGAGAGTGTAGAATAAAGAATACATTCAAACACTCTTAGTGGAATATACATATTTGGAATAAATTGAGAAGTTTTCATCTTAACTTAAAATACATATTTCCTTTGGCACAGCAATTCTATGTCTCTCTATTCTTTCAATAGTGAAAAGTGATGTATGTATAAGGATGTTCATTCCAGCCTTGTTTGTGAAGCAACAATGACAAGTCTACATAAAAGTCCAGTAATATGTGAATAAGTGAACACGCTACCCACAAACCAGATGTTAATTGAATAATATACACTAAGTGCATGTTCCTATGTATTTATATATAAGTACAAAAAGTCTGAAAGGATCCACACCAAACTTTTAATTTTCATTCACCTTCAAGGATGAGCTGGGCAACTAGAACTTTCATTTTTTTTAATACTTCAGATGTATCTATATACCATTAAAAGAAAAACTTTAGACAAATTAAAGTTAGAAGAGTTTGAGCAAAGAATGAATTGCAAATCAGGAAAGCCTGAAACCAGAAGAGGATTAGAGCAACTCTGGCACTGCTGCATGGTAAAAGGGGATTTATGGACAAAGAAAAAGAAAATAACATACAGAAAATAGAAGGCTGATACAGAAACAGCTGGGTTGGTTACAGCTTAGTGTTTGCCTCATTTGAATATTGTTTAAATAATTGGCTCCGTGTGATTTGCCCAGACTTGGTGATTACTACAAGACTACCTTATAGTCTGTTTATACATCCAGCTAGGTTACAGTTCACTGTGTATGGAGGAATCTTTAGGCCAAATTTAAAATACGTAAGGAAGAAACTTTAAGCTGAACTTAACAGTAATTTCAACTTTTTTACAATGATAGTGACTTACTGCTTAATTTTAAAAATAATAGTTTATAATTTTAATTATGATTATAACAGTAAAGAACACAATATTGTTATCCATCACCAACTCTAAAAAGATATATTAATTGTCAACCTTTCTGATAAGAAGTATAATATGACAGTTGTCTAACTTAAGCTTATATTCAGCAACGATGGCTACAATTTGGACTTTTTAAAAAAGCTACGTAATTTCTGTGAAAAACATGCATCCTTTCCCTTCCTCTACTTTTTTTTTTCTTTTTTCCCCTACCCACAACTAGACTAAAACAATAAAGCTCATTTGGCATATAAGTAAGCTCCTTTTCAAGGCATCTCAGTTTTTAAATTCCATTTAAAAATCGCTTACTACTTTCTTAAATAAATATCCTGTAAGCCCGGCATGCGATTTTTCTTCAGCTGTGTTAACACATGATCTCTGACAGTGATCATAAAATCTACACGATCTTCTAACTATTTTTGATAGTTTTTCCACATGAACTGTAGAAGTGTGTGTACTCACTAAGAAATAAAACTTTTACTTTAGGAATCAACTATATCTGTATGATTTTGCTCCCTATGTTCTGATTCATAACCTACCATTCATGCATTGTCCTGTCAGTAGATAATGATTCCCTGAGCATTTTTTGATTATATTATCCTACACCCAACTAATCTGTTTTGTTTTTTTCTTTTTTAGTAGTAGTAGTAGTAGTAGTAGTAGTAGTTCTGTTGCATAGAAACAGTTAAAGTGGCTTACATCACTTTCTGCAGTAACAAGAGGCTAAAATTCCTCTGAATTGCTTTAAGTATGATCTTCAGACCAAACTATTTCTGTTCTTCAGCTTCTTTGTTGCCATTCTCAGTCAGTATGCATTACACATAGTACAAATCGTTAAGGGTTTCCATTTTGTTTGTGCAGTTTCTGGCAATCAAGGACCAAACTGATTTCAGAGCCATTGATTGACGTAGCTATAGACATTAAAATTAGTTGAAGATTTAAGTATACTTTGTCTCCAAGTACTTAAATTACTGTTCAGTTTTGATTAAAACTTCTAATAGTTACAGTAAAAATAAAGTAACTTAACTTAAATATGTACCAATTATCTCCCTATTCAAGAATATGCTCCAAACCCAAAAATCTCTTGTATTTAAATATTCTGATTTTAATGTGTTTGTACATATAAATCTTGTATTTACAGATAATTTCAGAAACACATGGTATGAATAGACAAATGAGCAACTATTCCAGAAATTATGTACAATTTATGTGCAGATAGGAAGTATTTTACAATACTTATTCAGAAATCTGTATAGAAAATACTTACTTCAGAAATCTGTATAGAAAAATAGAGCCCTAACATCAGGCAACATCATAGATGAATGTCCTGCAAATTATTCCCTGTTAAGATTGGGAAATGTTGAAATAAGAATATGACATAAGATGCTATTAAAATAACCACAAAATTCCTACATATGCTACAACACCCCTATATTTCTTTAATGTAGGCATTCTTGACTTATACTTTTATATATAAGACTAGGCTTATCCTTGTCAGAGCTCAAATATTATTATCTTGCTTCAATGTGGCTTTTGCCATGCACATCGTTAAAGCAATATCACCTCTAGAAATGCATAAAGACACCAGAGTACAGGGTATTACATTAGATAACTATAAACGTGCACATATACCTTGTTCCGAAGCCAGGGGTAACTATGCTGTCCCAGCTATTGATATGCCTTAGATGCAAAAATGGCTACAAATGTTCTTTCTGACTAAGTTGAGTGAATAGGTAAACACTATGACAACCACACATTTTAAAAGAAGGGAACTTTTAGTATTTATAAATTAAATTTCTGTTTAAGACTATTCATGATAATCAGGTTATCAGCCTGATTTGTCATATCCCAAGTTCCATTCAAGTACTCAATAAACACACAAAAAAAATACAAAAGAAAAGCAGTGAAAACCAAAGATGTGAAAACAACTCGGTCACTTGCCATGATATGGGGAAGAACACTCACTAATACAATGGTGTAGTTAGACAGGCAGCCTGAGTGTATCGATGAAGAAACTTGGCCCCTTCTATATCACCTGCTCATAGGTTGATGGTAGCCATCTTACTCTGACAGGTCCTGAAGCAACCAGTACTGCCTCACTCTCATAAGCCCAAAGGTGGACTGTCTTTCTCTATCCTGTTGGAAATAACAATTCCTGGTATACAACATGGAGATGAGGGTCATAAAAGCAGAACATAATGGAAATTATAGTTTTCTATATACCGGATGTAGTCAAATAACAATGACATAGTGCCTATGACAGAAATTTTTCTCGTAAGAAAAACAAGCAAACAAGCAAATAAAAATAT